GTTCTCTGAACTGAAGGAATTACATGAATCTTTAGATTTAGAAGACCCACTAAATCATGAGCAGTATGATGAAGAAAAAGAAAAGAAAGGCCCATTTCAAGATACATCCTAATGAAATTTTAGAAATCCAAGGATAAAGGGAAACTCTCAGAATTCCAGAGGGAACTGCTGTTAAATGTACGGTCGCCTCGGCCCCGGACTGCGAGGGCCGGTGACGCACCCCGCGCCGGTGCAAACAAAGCGCAGCTGCCACCGCCATGTGGCCGCCCGCCGCCCGCCCCCTGGTTCGCCCGCAGCGGCGCTGGCCGCACATTACCCGGTAGCGGGGGACGCAGCGGGTGTTTTCTAAAGACGCCGGGGAGAGGCACCCCGCGTGGGGGACTCTGGAAGCACGGTATTTGTGTGTGGGCCCCGCCTCCTCACGGGTGCACCCCCGAGTCATTTGCGATTTACATAACGAGCGCTGGGCCCCAAGGGCAGGCGCGGGTGGAGCGCGCGGGAACCTGCCTCTCACACACACAAGGCCAGTTCCTTCGCCCTTCTTTACACCGCGCGCTCAGCGGGGCTGCAGGGCTGAGCGTGTGCGGGAGAGTTTACAGTTGCAGCAAACTGAACGGCTTAAGTTAGGATTCTGGGCCTCCAGTACCATCCACCTCTCGAAGGTTCTTTTCTTTGGCCTGGAGAGGGCACAACGTGGTAGAGGGGCCACCCTGTACTCCTAACCGGCGTTTAATGGCTAGCACACTGCAGGGCCGCCCCATCTACTGTCACGCCCCCTTCCCCCTGCAGTTGTGGCCCTGCGTTTACATAACGCAAAACCAGGCATTTGGGAGACTTAATATTTTATCCACATTCATCCCCACTCTCATCGCCACCCCAGATTTAAGTCAGTATTTTTGCAGGGACTTGCTTCAACAGTGAGTGAGTTAGACTACATTTGTATCTCTGAGTTGCTATGGCGACCACATCCCCATTTATTTAAAAAATGTTTGTACAGGGACCTCCCGAAAGCAAATGAAGAATTATCTAAAACGCCCAGCATTTGGGACCTGTCTGGTCAGTTTGTGTAAATGGGGGTTCGGAGAGTGGCACAACTGAGCTGTGTGAGACTGAGTTGTGTCCCAGGAAGAATGTTCAGATTGGGACCCCAATTTGAATTACCCTGGAAGGGAAGAAGAAGGCTGTCTGCATGACGCTGGTCTGTTCTTTTCTCGCCCCTGCCATTCTGGTTTGGCAGCTGTCTTCTTACTGAGACCTAGAGGAAGAGCCGAAAGAACCTTCTTTCATTTGATTATTCAGAGAG